GTGTGTGTGTGTGTGTGTGTGTGTGTGTGTGTGTGTGTACGATACAGAGAGAAGGTGGGGCGGATGGCACGTTGAGGGCCCAGTGAGGGAGGAGGCCGGAGAAAGAGGGGAGACAACAGGGGCCCAGGAAGCGGGAAAGGAAGGAGAAGAGGGGAAGCAGGGGGAGCGACGCGCCTTGCTGCGAATATCACAAAGTGAAGGAGTGGGGTGCGTCGTCGCTGGACTGCGGCAACCGGCTCGCAAGCCAGGAGGAGGAATTTGGCCGCAGGGGGCCGGGCCCAAGCGCACAGGAGGACGGCGGCCCCGCAGCAGCCCCCCGCCGCCAAGCGGCCATGGCCGGCGCCGCTTGGCGCGGCGCACGAGCCGCCGGCCCGGCCCCCCGGGCGCGGTCGCGGCGCCGCAAGGGCGGCGCCTGTTGTGCCGGAAGCGAGCCCGCCGTGCGGCCCCTGCGTAGGGGGCGCGCCTCGGCCCTGTCAACACCCCATGCACTGCCATGCTCCCGACCCCGCCGCTGCGAACATGCTCCCGCACTCACATGGACACGAAATGCGTGAAGAGGTCGAGGTAGCGCGTGACAAACACCAACAGGTACAGCTCCTGGGTTTTGAGGGAGATGCCTGGGCAGGCGGCGGCGGCGGCGACGGCGGTGGCGGCAGCATTGTGAGCTGCGGCGTGCCGGGGCCAGCCGCGATGGGACGCGGCCGCGGCTGAGGACAGGCCGCAGCGGCGCGCTCACGGCAAACGCACGGCGTTGCTGAGGGTTTCCAGCGCATGTCCGGCCGGGGGCCGCCGGGCACCAGGCGCCATGCGTGATGCGCGGCGGCAGCAGCGGCGGTGGCGGCGGCGCGCACCTCTGCATGACTTGGTCGCCAGGATTTTGAGCAGCAGCACCACTATAGACAGCAGGTGCATCATATCCCCCGCTAACCGGAAGATATTCATGGCTGCCGGCGGCCGGCAGGCCCTGCCTAGCTACAGGGTGTGGGTGGGGGTGCCTGTGCGGGCGGGGGTTGGACATGTAGGCGGGGGCTGGTTGATCGGTGCGGAGGCGGCGACGCCGCGCCGGCCGTGCGCCTGACTTGATGTGCACGAGCAGGGAATAGGCAGCTGCATGGAGCGCAGCCGCTCTGGCTGCTGGGCCGCAGCGCCACCTGTCACGCCGCAGCTGCTCCCAGGCGTTGCGGCATATGCTGCTGTTTTTGACGCACCCCTTGCCACTTGCATGCCTCTCTGACCGACGCTGACCTATGCTGGTGCCAGCGCACTGCTTTTGCCCAGATGTTTTCTGGATCCTGCTGTACTACTATAGCCCCCAGGGTGAGTGCTCACGCTGTTGTCGCGCGTGCTGTTGTGCTGCTGCAAGCCACCCCCAGCTGCGCCCCCCTCCTGCCCGTCCACGCGTGAACACGACCGATCACAAGAATACGTGCTGATTCTGATCACGCGTCAAGAATGCGGCCTTTGTGCTCACAACACGCGAACAACCGTGGCAGATCTGTGTGCGGTTGACGCCATCGATCGTGGAAGAATAATTTAGTTGGCCGTTTTGTATGCTCAGCTGTTTCCCTTGTTCGCCAACATACGCCAGCTTCATTGTCGAGGGGCTTGCTGCCTCGCGCGCGCTGCCTACTGCGGCTGGCGCGCAGCTCCATGTCGCGATGACCGGCCGCAGTCCGTTGTCCTGCGCTGGAGACGTGGTCACATCAAGATGCATAATAGGGCCCCTGCTTCTCATCCAAAGGGCCATGCAGATCCAGGTCCACGCTGACGCGCCAGGTCAACCCTAGGATTGGCAGGTCAACTATGCATGGCATTTCATGCCATTCTGAGAAGGGGGGCACCAGCAGTCTTCCTTTCAAGAATGGATACATGAGGCATGGACACACGACACGGGCAAGCCCAGCACATAACACAGAAAGTGGACGTTCAGCCCCGGCTGCCCCGAGGCGCGGCATGCACGGGTGGCGCAGCCCTGAGAAGAGAGAGAGAGCCCCTGTTCTCTTGACCCTGTTCTCTTGAATGATTTGAGAGTCATTTTCAATAGGGCTGAGCTTTGGCACACGGTGTGGGTTTGCCGTGCAAGTGCTGGACCCCAGCAGACAGGTGCCATCAAAAGTTTTACTCCAGGACAGCTGAGCGCCATGGCACTGGCCCGCGCGAACCTCTTGCAAGAAAGTTGTGGCTGCCAGTGGTATTACGTTCAAAGTACAAGTTGTGGTATCAGCAAAAATATGCCCTCCACTCTCTTGCTGTGCGGCATTACCATTGCTTGTCTCCCTAGTTCCCTGTCATCCGCTCGTCCAACTATACTTACAAGTTCGACCCAGAATCCCTCCGCTCAATCAAGACCAAAACTTTCTCTGGTTCATGTTGCCGCAACGCATGGGGGCTGAATCCTGCATCCTGCAATACGTGCTGCAGTGGTGGCACACACCAGCCCAGCACTGCTCCGAAGCACCAGCCAAGCGCGGCCGGGTGTGACGCCAAATGCACCAGTTCCTGGCGCCCCTTCATCGCGGTGGCACAACAGTTTCGTCTCAAACTATGTTTCCCAGTACATTGTCCATCAATCAGCTCTGACCGATCCGATCTCGGTGATCTTTGTCGTCCTTTGGCTGGCCCTTCGCAGCAGCAGCCATGGCAGATGACGAACCGGAGCAGCCAGAGCAGCAGGAGCGCAAGGACCGCCAAGGACGGGAGCAGGCGGCAGCATTGGACAAAGTCACAGACAATGTAGGCACCACCCCGCCGTCGCCGCCGCACTGCTACACACCCGTGCTCCTGCACGCTTTGAGCCCTGTGGATGTGCATTCAACCAACTCATGGTCACACCGCAGGTCCCGGAAAAGCAATTGGACGAGAACAAAGTGAAGCAGGTGCGCAGCATCGCAGCCCAGCTCGAGCCCACCATAGCGCTCAAGCAGCTGGCCGCATCACCGTGTGTCTTCAGGCGGGCGGCGCAGGCTGCGGCGTTGTCGCTTGCACAGGCGAACGCTTTTGGTGCACCGCCCCTGGCCGCGCAGCTCTGCTGTGCACAGGCTCCGGACCGCCGCCCACACCCACTACCACCCCATACCCCTACAGGCAATGGCGGCCCTGGCAGCGTCCCAGAAAGCAGACAAAGAGGCGCAGCGGCAAAGGTGCGACGTGTTTCAGACCGCTGCTTCGCCGCTTTTCGTTCATGCCAGGCAGGGCTGCTGCTGCTCAATCACCATAGTCTGCTGTCCTGCCTGGGCTCTTGAGCACACTGGCCAGCTTGGTTGTCGCTCTTCCAGCCCCCCACGTCCCCAGCAACTCCCATACTGCACTCTCAGCTCCTGAATCTTTCCCACCTCCACTCACGCCAAAACCCTCAACCCCCCAATCACACACACACTCTCTCTCTCTCTCTCTCTCTCTCACACACACACACACACACACACACTCACACACCCTCACACACTCGCTCTCAAACCACGACTCTAACAGGGAGCGCGAGCTCGCCTCCGTCAAGGTGGCCCCCGCCGACATTGACCTGCTGGCCGCAGAGGCTGAGGTGGACAAGAAGGCGGCGGAGCGGCGGCTGCGGGAGTGCGGCGGCAGCCTGGTGGAGGCCCTCAAATCGTACCTGTAAGCGGCCGATTCCCCACAGCTGGCGCTCCAATGGTGACCGGTGTGTGCGCGTACGGCACCGGGGCGGGCGGCCGCGGCCCGCTGCCGGTCGCGGAGTTTGGCTGCGTTTTTTGGGGGGGTCGCAGGGACAAGGGGAAGCCGGGGCTCTGGAATCCAGGGCGCGCGGTTACACGCGCCGAAAGCGCATCTGGGCAGTGAATCATGGAAACCATACGAAGGAAAATGCGGATCAAAAAGCGGCATTGATTGCGTGAAGGCGCGACACCGATGGCGTCGTGCTGTGCTGAGGGGCGCCTGCAGCGCCTTCGCCTGCCAAGGGCGGGGGGCCCCGGTGTGGCGAGGCCCCAACATATCGGTATGCAAGAGGATGAGGCGCGAGGCCATAAAGAGGTGCATGACGCTGTACTGCTACAAAGGCTGAAACAAGGTGTGGCGCAGTGCCCCGCTGACAATGCAGGGTGATGGCGATTTGTGACCACGCTTCGGCGAACCAAAGTCCTAAAACAGTGCGCATCACAATGGAAAGGGCTGCCTGCTATTGAACGTGAGGAGTGGCCCCAGCCATGAACAAACGCGCACCGAGCAAAACGCAGTGAGCCTGCTGTGGCAGCGCCCCTGCGCCGGCCAGCCCGCCTGCCCGCCCGCCCGCGCAACAAGCTACAAATACACCCTTCACGTGAAGCCTCCGCAATTCTCGCGTGCTGCCTGCTGAGTCGACTCTGCCTGCCTAAGAAACCCAGAACGACCCGCGGCGCCGCGCCGCTTACGAGGACGGCGCCCGCTCGGGCTTGCTGAGGGAGGCGCGCCGCCGCGCCGAGGGGCCGAGCCGCAGGCCCATGGGCGACTGCCGCCGCAGCGCCACGACGAAGCGCAGCAGCGTCTCGTCCTCGTCCACTTGCTGAGTTGGTATGGGTGTCGGGGTGCGGTGGGGTAATGGAGGTTGGGGGGGGAGCGCAG